GAGATTTAAAAATTAAGAGAAAACATTGGAATATATTATTTGATATTAATAGTTTGGAATTACATATTTAGTCAATATAATTATTTTAATGAGTGAAATGTTGAAAAATGCACTTAAGAATTTTGCTTGATTTAATTTTAATCACATTATTTATAATTTATGGGTAAATTCTGGATTCTCTTACTATTAATGCAAATTTAAAGATTCTGTGGCTTAATTAGCCATTCAGTTCCATTTTGTTGATTGCAGTTTGTTCCTTCCTTTAAATTATCTTGCCACAGCACATCATTTTTGTGATAATTAACTTTCAGTTCCCTCTGACTAGGTGAACATTTTTTTCACTAGAACTGTTGGTCAGTAACTATTTCTGAGATCTTGTAAACTTATAGTCATAATATTAGTTATAATATTTAGTGCTCTTGCCTTTTGCTGGTCTCTTTCTCTTTGTCTCTGATTTTTCAAGCATCAGAATCTTATCCAAAGATTTCTGCTTCTGCATTATGTATCCCAAAATATGTAAGCATTAGCATTGTTCCAGTGGGTGGTCTGATTTTATTTCATTTTGTGCTGAATTATTTTTTCTTCATGTTGTCCAAACATAGTTACCCTTCTGGAATTTGTCCCTGACAGATTCTCTCGCAACTCTTTGCAAAGCCCATCACCATTTCTGTCTCATCTCTCAATGCTCCACCAGAATTCTCTTGCCCAGCAAAAAATCTTTGCCCAAACATTCACTCCCCAGCATTCCATAACAGCTGTCTCCCTCCCATCCTTAAGTCTGACTAATGTGGAAAGGCCATATTTAAATGGTGAGATGAAGGCAAATCCTGGAACAATGAGCAGTATCAGCCATACAATTCATCATGTTTGGTGGCATTTTGAGAGTCCAAGCTAGGTCTCCAATGATAATTAGTTTCCTAATCCATAGGTTTTTCTCTGGACCATGATAAAAATACAAGTGTTGAAAACACATCATACATTATTATGACATATAATTCTGACAATCCCATTATTAGGGTAGATCATTGCTATCACCACTTGTGAAAACATAACATGTCTTACTACATGTATATCATGGTTTACTCAATTGGCATCATTTGCTCCCTAAATATAAAAAAAATCTGGTTGTAGCCTCAGTTACTAGAACCATTCTTCCCTGAGAACCATATATACAAAAGATAACAATGGAAGCTTTTTGTAAATCACTGTTGTCTGTCTTAACTAAAATAATTACAGCTATTAATATTGGACTAGCTTAACATATATAGCATTTTAGCAGCACCTAGTGGCAGACACACTCAATACATCTATAACAATATTTATAATAAATAGCAGGGTGAGTTAATGTTTTGAACCCTAAGGAGCACTATATGAAATTGACATATTCTTTTTAATATAGACTTCCATAAGCTACATCTCTCCTTTCCAGAAGTACGGAGTTATTTAAAGAAATGAATTGAATTCTGGTTGCATAGGAATATTCTTATAGCAGAAAGCTTTTGAGCAGTAAGACATTATTGACAATTATGTGCCATCAGGTTGCTGTCTTAGTGACCATATACATCTTAGTGACCATATAGGTAGATTTTATTCAGGATGATTTGTCCACAACATAGTTCTTCAGGTTTTGCAATGGCATACCCATTGCTGTTGTAATTGAATCCATCCACTGAGCTGGTAGTTATCCTCCTCTTATCTTTCATCTTTCCCAGCATTACATATTTTTCAAGAGACCAGATCTTTACATAATATGAACAGATATGATTATTTTAGCCTTATCTTTGTTCTTTGTTCTGGTTTGCCATTAGGTCTGTTTATTTTCTTGGATATCCATGGTATCCCCAGGAGTCTTCTCCAAAGTTTAAGTTCAAAAATGTCAATTTTTCAGAACCTGCTTTTTCAAATTTCACTTTTTGCTTTATATAGCATTCCAGGAAGAATTGTTGCCTGATGATTCTGAATTTCTTATTTAACACTTTCATTGCTTCTCTACCAAACAATCTGTGATGTATTTCTTGACTGCTGATTCCTTGGCCAATGATAGTTGATTCCATAAACACTGTCTACCACTTCAATGTCTTCATTGTGAATTTTAAAGGGCATTATTTCATTAATATATAACCCAGGATATTATGTTTTTCAGTTTAAAAATTCTGTATATCAACCATTTTATGCAGCTGTATATCAACCATACTGCATATCCGTAAAATAAACCATAAAATGCAACTGAAGGGTGTTAAAAGATTAAAAAATAATAAAACAGTATATCACAAATTCATAGCCACTTTATTAATGTTCAGTTTGGCAATAGATGATATTATAATATGAAGTACATTATACCTGCCCAGCTAAATGGCAAATAAACCAACCTTCCTGAAAGAAAGCAGTGACAAACCTCGTTTTTAAGAAATGAGCACATTTAAATTACCGTGATTCAAGTCACCATGGGAGACTTTACTGCATTAGGATTACTGAACTGTTCGCATTTATTAAATGTAATTGTTTTCTTGAATATTACAGTAACCAAATTTTTAAATACTTTCTAATCTGGGAGGGTTTGAAGCATCTGGAAGGCCCTGCAGTTTTGTTCTTTTGGTTTTTCTCTAATGTAACCTTTCAAATCCAAAACCCCAAGCCACAGTGTATATATACACTATTGAACAAAAAGGCTCACTGTGGACATCCTGGGACCTTCAGAGTGATTCTCACTCAATAGATTTGGCTGGAGTTACCATACTCCTAGCTAGGCATAATGACATTTGTAATCCAATATAGACCAGAGCAGACCAGCTGACATACTGATCACTTTTACTTTTGAGCAAGTATCTATAGATATCCACTAGCCACAGACTGCAGCCACAGGATTACAACCAAACAGCTGGACAGCAAACCTTTCTGCTTCTGACACTAGGGAAAATTAAGATGGCCCCTCCTAGTAGCTTGCTTCAATGAACCCTAGAAATAGGTATACAGGAACCCAGGATATTTTGCAGCAAATCCAGTCAAATTTGGTGCTGAAGACTTGTTAAGAGAAGAAAATGCAGAGAATAGGTGGCAAGCAGGATTCTGGTTACTTTCAAGTATCACATTAAAAATAGGGGGACAGAGACCTAGATTTTTTAGTGATTTTTTTTCAGGAGCTATTCAACCACTTTTAGCTCTATTAACCATTGACGGCATGTTTTATTCATGACTTAGGGCAGGAAAAAAAATAAGTGATGTATTACCAGTCCTCAGACTTGCAGTCTCCATAGTCAAGGTGAAAGTGTACTATGATTAGATAAGTAAAAGCACCTGCTTGTTTCTTAAATAGTTCTTTGTTGTAGAAACCAACACAGCTTTTGTCTTCATAATTGTTCTTTTCTCAGAAAAATCAGAGTATCCCTTTGTTTTTTCAAATTCATATTCATAAATATATATTTAAAAAAATAATAGAAGCTAGAACTGCTCACCTGCTAATAGGAGCTAAAGTTGCTCACTTACAATTGCTAAAGAAAGCTGAGGCTTGTTTGAAATAAAGATTTGAAGATATATAGGTAGTTCACAATTTATGACAATTGAGCCCAAAATTTCTGTTGCTAAGCAAGATAGTTTGTGAGTTTTGCCTCGTTTTATGACTTTTCACTGCAGGTGCTAAATTAGTAACATGGTTGTTAAGCAAATCTGGCTTCCCCATTGACTTTACTTGTAGGGTGGCAAAAGGTGACCACATAACTCCAGGATACTGCAGCCATCATAAATGTGAGCCAAGCATACAAATTTTGATCACATGATCATGGTGATGATGTAATGGTTGTGTGAAAAATGGTCATGTCACTTTTCTCAGTGCTGTTGTAACCTTGAACAGTCACTAAATGAAAGGTTGTAATCTGAGGACTATCTATACATATGAAGCATACCTTTACTTCAAACAAGTCTGCTACCTCAGCTTTCTTGAGAGCAACTAGTAGGCGAACAACTTCAGCTCTCATTTTTTTTAAAAGTCCATGCTACAACCTGGAGTAATGGAATGTAAAAGAAGCTGAATTCAATTGTATCACCAGGGGGAAGGCTTAGTTGAAAAATCTGGACGGGGACTACCTGAGTAAAGGAAAACATCATTTAACTCAGTGAATCATACTCTATGATTTAAGCAGTTTGTTGAGTTCTTAAAACACATGTAAAAAAAATCAACCAGATGGCCTCTTTGCCTCATAGGTGGCAATCTGTATGGCCCCTTCACAAATTACATGAAATGGGGAAAACCTTAAAGACATAGGTTCCCTTATATCAAGGGTCTTTCAGTCCTCGTCCATGCACACTTGAGGCAGGAAATTGTTAACACAAAGGCTGTACTAAGCAAAAACATGGCTTGCTTTTAGATCCCCAAATCTAGCCAGTTGCCAAACAAGCAAATAAATCACAGCTTAGCATACATGAACTAAATGAACACAACACAGCACAACACTCAGAAAACAGCATTGACAAGTCAATGTTAATTTATGTAATTTCAATTTTTTTCACAATTCCATTGATTATCCTTTGTAGAGGAAGAAAAAATTCCTTCAAACTGACGCTGTTAGAAAAACTTAAAAGACACTCAAGCCTTGTGCCATGCTTTCAAGACATCAGAAATAAAACATAAAAGATTGGGTATGAGAAACATTTGTCACTCTAAAGTGCAATAAGCATGAAATTAAAATGGCTATACTAATCCTACCATTATCAGTACAGGAATGATGTATTAAGGCAGAAGAAAGCAGGTGTAGTTTGACACCTGTGGCTTTCGTCTAAGCTGCTCAGGTATCCATAGCCAAGCTCTGAAGAATGATATATACGAAGATTTTGAACCCAAGTTAATGTAAATGTAATCCCAGTGTTTCATGATAGAACAGAATTACAACTGTACATTTTATAACAATAATATCTATAACATTTATAGCATTTTATACCCAGAGCAGATATATGATTGGAAGAATACTTTTTACTTCTGATAATAAAATAAGTACATATAACAAAAATGAAATTTCAAATATTTATTTTCAAGTTCCTAAAAAATAGGGTTGTGGAACAGCAATAAATACATAATGATGATACAGTGTTTTTAGTTTTTGCTGATTCAATTATTGCATATATGCACATGTCAATACAGTGTAGTCAATGCATGTGTTCAGTGACATTAATTTCTTGATTCTTGATTGAACAAATTTAATCTGAATTTAAAAATGAGAGTTCAATCTTGCTACAGGATCCCATTTATGAAATATTATGGATTACAGCAATTAAGAGGTTTGGGTGAATATTTCAGTTTCAGTTTAACATTAAAGAATATGATTAATTTATCCTGCCCTGCTGTATTCCTTTTTATTTGCTCCTTGCTATTAATGTCATGATATTTTTGTCATTGTCTATTCCTTTGTACAATCATGATTTAATCTCACATAGTTTTTTTAGGACAAGCCCACAAAACCCAAAAAGAAAAAAAAAACCAGAGTTAAGCACTAATTTTCAGATTACAATCTTATGTTCATTTGAACGTAGTAAGTTTGCGTAATATATTATAAAACTTTATAGCAGTCCTGGCTACTCCAAACTATTTATTTAGAGTAATAAAGCACGTTGCTATGTTCAATACATGAATACATTTTATAATAGCCTTTATCTCATTTTATCCTTCTTTTGAATATAGTAAACTTCAACACAAATCTAGCTGTATAAAATATTTCCTGATTGGCCCAACAATTTCACTTGGTCTTAGTCAATATTAGTTGCTTCATAAAAATATACAATTAAGCCTCATGGTTCTACAGACTGTTTACTGCTGCCAGCTGCAATTCACTGCTGTCTTAACAAATTGAAAAAAGCTTATTTCATACAGTTGCTGGATTTCAATAACCTGTACTCTATTATTCTAGGCAAACAGACAATTGCTAAATGCCAAGAAAGCATTTACAATTACTTGTACCAGCCTCTACTAATTTTTATAGGGTCACCTTATTAAACAAGATTATGCTGACATAGAAAGAAAAGACTATTCCTATGACCTTTTATATTCTACTGCATATTCTAGTCATTCAGAAGGCAGATGTTATCAGACTCCCTTGAACTATAACAACCAGCAGACACTCAGGCAAATGTTACATAGATCACATCAAGGATTCTTAAGGTGCAAACTTGAAATCTTCCTTTAGTTCCTTAAAGAGGTGGGAATAATAACAATTTTATCTCAGTCAAGGAGTAAAGCTGAAGAGAGATGACAAAACGATGAGGAAAAGAACAAGGCTCACACGTCTACCTCATAATTGAAACTTTAAAGGTCATGGGAAAAGCAGAACAATACTTTATCCCTCCCCCCCTTGCCCCCATGCATAAGATAGTAATATGGTGGCTGAATGAGTTATTTAAAAATACCAAAAGACAATGCTCGGTATATTGTATCTAATGACCTCCATTCTCCAGGGAGCAGAATCAATGGCCAAACTCACTGTGTCAATTTTGTGAGAATGTTAAGGCTCTTTGATAACTGACATTTTAAAGTGGAGATGCAGAACCCAATATGTAAACCACTGGATTAATGCCCCACCACCACCACCTGACACAGCACTGTCAGTGATTGGAACAGGTAAGAACTGCAGCTTAACAATGACCAATACAGATGAGGTTTCCACTCATTTTAAAGTCCCACAAAGTAACCTAGGGGCCCAACCGCATAACTCTACTGCTAAAGACACTTTGTCATGCTAGGCAGTGCATGCTTTAAAACGGAGGCAACTTTTAAGAGTTTTAGCCCTTGCTGTTTTGAAACGCAGCATTCCTAGTTATGACAGGAAGATACAGGATAGCTCAGACTAATTCCAGCCATCATTTTCTTCATTTTCATATTACTTCAGTAGTCATTAATAGCTTTCTTGCACACTACTGGTACTAGGCTTGTTTTAAAACAGATCACAAAAAGGTATCTACTAAAGGATGTGAAAGCAGAAAAATTACCTAGAAAAAAACTGTCAGATCAGTATTATTTAGTCTAGAATCATGCCAACAGATTTATACAATCTTTTAAGTGTTATTTTTTCCTAGAACGGAGTATCTTTCCAATGTTAACATTTTTGTTTAAAAAATTCATAACAGTTCTTAGTTTTTTTAGCTGCACTCTAAAAGCAGAAAAAAGCATAACTGAACTCTGCATGTTGTAGAAAACATTAGAAAGTCATTCAGAATCATTCCTGAAGTAGATCCTTAACATTGTTTTCAATGAAAAACTACCCTGATAGAATTGAGAAAATTCAACATTCCTTCCCATACTGACCATCTTGATAATTGTGTAAAGTCTACAAACAGGACATCAGCACAATATTATTCTTCTGATCATACTCCCTAGCCAAAAGTCATGTTCTCTAGCACTCAGAGGTAAACTACATCCAACAGTGATGATAATACAGTTATCATAATGATCAGAAGCACAAACTGTTTTGCCCTCCAAGAGTATCACTAGTAAACTATATTTAGATAAATGAATTAAAAGAGAAAACTTAGGAATATAAACTTAATTTTTCTGCACTGCATGTAAATATTACCCTCCTAAATAGAAATACAAAACTCTGCAATTTCAATAAATGTTTAGAGATCAATACAAAGGTATAAATTATTGGAATGCTTACTGCTAGATTTGAGGATGTTAAGCACTAAAGTTTTAAATAAGAGATCACCTGTTGCAAAATATTCATAAAACAAGATTAGATGTTGGAATTGTCAAATATATAATTATGACCAAGAACATGCCTAAAAACTTGTTCATCAAAAATACAAATTGTACTTAGCCATACAATTATGACTATTTGCATGAAGATGACACACTTTCGTGCCAAGATCTGTATTATATCTTTTACTCAAAATATTTTATCTTTTAAATAAAGCCAAATTAAAAAAACTACTAGAAAAACAATGATACAAATGCTGAAACTATCTTATTAAAGTATACTTAATTAATTTACAAATTTGTCTTTGTTAAGTACAGGTTTGAATTTTAAATAAGTATTTGTAAAATCACAGTTACAAATGTTTATGTAAACTTTTCTTTTGAAAACATTAGAATATTCAAGAGATTTGTAAAAGACCAACATATTAATAAAATGAACATATTTTAACTAAAATGTTTCCATGAATAGAACAAATATACTTTTCCTTGAATTATATGCACAGATCTGCATCCAAATGAGTCTGTTAAATAATATCCAGCTGAAAAAGAAGCAAAATCCTTGCCCCTTTTCCAAATATGAATTCTGTTACACCCTGTAAAGTAGATGTAGAGGAAAAGAGCCAGAAAATCTACTGTAAGCCATCCATTCCTATAACACTTGATGTAATTCAGTATTAATTCTGTTGCCTGCGTTTTGCTGATCTCATTTTTTCAAATCGTGATTCCATCTCTTCCAGGACTTTGGGTGTATAGCGTACAACCAACTTAACTTTTCCTTGAGCTGCTTTTAGAAGTTCTACAGCTTTTTCATGGTGCTCCCCTTCAACACTCTGAAAAAAAATACATATATATGTTATATATTCCATTAGTATGCATTCAACAAGTATTCTAAGAATCAAGGACTGTTATTTATAATATAAGATTTATGTTTCCTTTTGTCCTCTCCAAACCATTCCAAATTAAAACCATGTTTCTCAAATCGTGAGTCCTGATGTTATTAAGTAGCCCATACAATGTTTTCATCATCTCAGCCCATGTAGATTGCATTCATTTCCTTAGAAGCACACCATTACTATTTCCTTTAAGAGACAGGGGGACCTGCCTATCTTTCTTCCCAATGTGTCATTTTCAAATTCTATCCAAGTATCCATATTGTAATTGAAAATGACAGTTATACATTGTAATTATGAAACAATGAATGTGAATATACTCACTCTTAACTACCAATGTTCACAGGAAAAGAAACAACTCAAAATTTATTGTCAATTTACAAGTGGAATCAGAAAAGTAAATTTTTATAAAAATTCAAACTAAAACATATGTGAAGCAAAATGTTTATAAGGAAAAAAGCTGAGTTTTAAATTTAGAAACATAGAAAAAATAGTGAGAAACAATTTTTCATAAATAAGCTTCTACAGTTGTATACAAAAGTTTAAGAAAACAGAAAAATTCTTTTTAAGAAAGAATTTTTTTAAGAAAACAGTAATATAGCAGGTGAAGAAGTTTGAAAACCTTTCCAGTTGTTTCAGTTAGAGAAAAATTGTTAATAATACCTAAGAATTGATTTATTCAGCCTGTGCCTGTAATAGCCAGGTGAAGACAATTCCACAGGTAAGCAAATATAGTTTTAACATTTTAGAGTGGGATTCTTCTGTCTGTTTTCAAGACCACAAATGCTTCTAAATATCTGTTTGGATATTTGAAAATACAGATCATTCTTGCCAATCATCAAACATCTATTCTGCTTTTGGGCTGTATGGCAGTCAGGGACATAGATAATATTTTCTTCTATTGGCTAGAAAATATTGGGCAGATAAAATAATAGATTTAATTACGTAACAGCCCAATCCTTATAACCTTTCACTAGGCATTAAAAACTTGACTTTTCCATCAAATATTTAAGATCTGGATAGTTTTTGTTTATATTGATTGTGAGGCATCGCATTATTATTGGTTGCTAATTGTTTTTAATTATGTCATTTTTAAAAATTTTGTTTTGTTAGCAGCGTACAGTCATGTATATGAGATGAACAGCTATATAAATTTATTTAAGTAAATACATTTAAATTTATTTAAGCAAATATATTCTAGTAGCATCTCCTATCAGTCAGTGAAGAAATTGAAACTTTTCACTTTTAGCAAAACAACAATGTAAAAAATATATCCAAATCAGATATGAAGCTGATATTCTGAGTCCTGCAAGGAAGGGTGATGAGGAAAATCCAAAAGCAAATATAAAAGATTCTCATAGCTCTGGCTACTTTACAAATTTTAAAGTTACTAGTTTTGCAAAAGGAGAGGTTACAAAGTATTGACTGAAAGGGCATCCAGACTTCTCTACCTGCCATATTCATGAATTTCATATTTTGAATCTGAATATCCTTGCATATAAATTGTTACATATAAGTCCACTTCTACAGTCTTGTCATGCTTGTCCTATGCAGAAGTTTTGTCCACTTTTATTCATTTAAAACTTACAATTTGACTGGTGGTGTGTAACTTTTGGTGTACAGTGGAAACTAAATGCAAGAGGATTTTTTACAATTGTAAAGATGGTTAATCGACCTCCCCACAATATTTTATAACTTCACAAGCAGCTTGTCTGTTAAAGTCCAATTACAAATGGAATCAAAACAGAAAGGGCAGCAGGGATTGTAAATATCTGGAAAAACATATTGAATATCAATATGAAGGTCTGGTTTGATTAGCTAAAATGGATCAATTGAAATATAGATAACAATAATTTGTTATTGCAGTCTGATTTAATTGTGCAGAGAACAGCCGAACTTTTTTAGTTATCCCTATGTTTCTTTTTTGTTTACATAATACAAATTAAACTCTTGCATATAAGCCTAGCATTTAATTACTGCATATATGTTTTATCAATATTCTGACATACATTTTGATATATGGCATCAATAAATGAATTGGGAAATATAAAAGCCTATGGATAACTTGCAATCAGCACACTCATTTAGCGTGTACACAGATCTAGATGACAATCAACTTTGTAATCAAAGACTGAACTTTTAAAGCATGCCTAACTTAATTTTATCTAAGAGGAAGTTCTCAGAGATAAATTAGATTAAAAGAAAATACTGGATCTTAATGATAAAACCCAATGTAACTAGGATAAGAAAGCCAAACATTTCAGCTCCTTCATTTTAACTATAATGATAGATTTCTTAATGATATTCTGACAAAACCATAGTTGTTTTTTTTAAAGTGTGTACTCATTGTCTTATTTTTAAGTTTAAATGTTACTTCATGAAATGTCTGTTTGAACTACCAAATTTATAAAATTTCTCAAATACGGTTATATTTCTCTGACCATTTCAATTGCAAACTACAACCACCATTAAGTACTTCATATCCTTTTAATGCCCTCAAGCGGTCACATTTAGCTACTACAAGCGGAAATTGAATTCCATCCCTACCACTCCGTTTACAGAAAGAAGTTGGTCTCCACGCTTCAATCCCCCGTGTCTATCAGCAATACCACCTGGGATAATTCGGGATATATAGATTGGAGAATTTTGCTCCTTGCCGCCCATGATGTTGAATCCAAGCCCTTCGTCTGTTTTGGGAAGTTCAACGACTCTGGGATGTGAATGACCTTCACTGGCGGCAAAAGCAGCAACTGTAGCCTATAAAATCCAGAAACCTCCAGTTTATCCTCCAGTTCATTGGATGTATTCATTCTAGCATCAATTTCAAAATATCCTGAAACTGAAATTGTTCAAAATGCATAAATGTATTCAAGTAAGTCTCAGAATTGCATTCTAAAGAAAGTACAACTCAGTGAAACATATCCACATAAACTGTCAAATAATTCATTTACCTTATTTTGTTAAAAAAAGCAGTGAAGGTTTCATAATCCTACCTCCTCCCCATGTGCATCTTGTTTCCTTCCTTGCCATCTAAATTTCTAAGCCAATTTTAATGTTAATATTATTACAATGTTTTAAATATTATTTTAATGTTTTATTTTGGGTTTTTTTTTGGCTGTAAACCACCTAAAGTCACTTCTAGGCAACATGGGTGGCATATAGGTTTAATGAATAAATAATAAATACATGGAATGAGAACACTTGGTCTATTTGTACTTTTTTGAAGTGCTACAGTTTATTACATAGGCACATTCTTTGTAACAAATACAGTATGATGTATTTTAACTTATTTTGGAACAAAGTACAAGATGTTTAATAAGAAACAGGTACAAGTGGATTAACAACAAATGTTCCAAAGCCAGACCGTACCTTTCATTCTATTCTGTCCTTCAAGATCGAAAGATCAGATTCCTGCCACAGGTAGTTCTCACTTACTGACTATTCACTGACCACTTTGAAGTTACAAAGTGCTGAAAATATAATTTTATGACTACTGCCTGCATTTATAACCTTTCCAATACCCCTCAGTCATGTGATACTCTTTATAGTCAGTACACAATGCCTTGCAACCAACATATTTTGTTATTTTTCCCTTGCAGAAAAAGAAACTGAAGAGAAAGGGATTACAAGAGAGTAAGCAGGTACACAATGGGGGAACACACATTGAAAATAATCTGCTGGTGCCAGCTGCTGAAAGCAGTAGTGTTATGGTAATGTAACAGCCTTATATTTTCCTTATTGTATTCCTGTTTTTTCCCCTCTCCTCTCAGAGAAGAGAAATTGAAGACGAACCGATATCAAGAGTAAACAAACACACAATGGGGAATACACAAGGCTGTTTGTGTAGCACACACTTGCAACTACCAACTCCAACATATTCCTTTCAATGTGTACTTCCTTCTATATGCCTACATACTTTCGTCCTTGCCAATAAATGTCAATACAAATATTAATTGCCTTCCTGTATATTATCCCAGCATCAGGGAGACCATTCAAAAAGATTAGGAGGAAAACAAGTCTAAGGTATAAAATTGATTAGTCTTGGGAGTTTTGAACCAGAAAAACACAATTGTAGACATGTGATTTTTCACTTTGCTTAGCAATGCAGATCTTAATTGTGGTCATTAAATGAGGACTACCTGCATTCACAACTAACTTACTATCTATGTGTGTATGATACACACAAAAAGTACCAATCCAGCAGGTATGTCAATTAGAAAGTATAAAACATGTAGCAAACTTGTGTAAATGGATTAGTAAATATTAACTACTTCAGTTCATTATATGGGGAAAATTTTAAAAGGGCAGTTCAATAGTAGTGGCATCCATATACTGAAACTATTATTCACTGGGATATATTCATAGTTTGATAACTTAATTAGGAGTTGCTAGAAGAAGTTCACTCTTAAGTACTTTTTTTCATTTGTTAGCACAATTAATAGGTCTCTTACCTTTGCTGTAGCATTAGCTCTTACTTCTGGGCTACTGCTGATGTCCACAGTCTCATACACGTGTTCATATACCTTTAGAAAATAAAAATATTAACATATGTTTTAACTAGGTAGGGATCATTAAGTATATAAGCAAACTGTGAAATTATATTATAAAAATATAATGTTTTAAAGTTATCTCCATACATATGATTTTGTTTTAAAGCACCTCCGTGATCATTCACTGTGTCCATGGGGACACTGCAGCCCCATCTACCTCCATCTGAACCTGATGGGATCCCATAGCATTTGGGCTTGCTCCCCAGGCTTCCTGGAAGCAGCCACCATTTTCAACGCTCCAACAATTCCTTGTGAAAATGGCTGCTTTCAGAGCTTTCTGCCCTGATCAGCTGGATGTCGGAGACTGCAAACTTCTTCTGGCTCTTGTTAGCCTTTGGGAAGCTAGCTGCCTGCATTCAATTTTTTATCCCATTTAAAAACCTCATTTGCTAAATTTACTGCATATCCAGGGTGACAAAATCTGTTAAATTACTTACCTTCATTCCAGTCTGAAGAGCAGAGGAAAGGAAGCAACCAAGCAAAGAAAATTTTTCTGCACCATCCTTCAGCTCTGGAGGAGCTGAAAAAAAAGTTCAGTCCCAAAGCAAAACTGTCTAAAGCACAAAATATACAGCAAATGGCCATGAAACTGGTCCTAAAAGGAATCAGACAGACAGCAAAAAGCTTTCCAAAGCCTTCCAAGCTTTTTGCTGTCTCACTTCCTTAAATCAAATAAATTTAACAAATGAGGTTTTTTAAAAGGGATAGTGATTGGAGGAAAGAGATGGAGATTTTAATTTAATAAAACCTAATTATTGGGGGGGGGGGAATCAACAAGTCTGTCCCTCCCAGTTTTGATATGTTTTTTTAATTGAAGAAAAGTAAATTTCTGGGGAAGGGAGTGGGAGAAGTGGGATAAGCAAAGGCTTTAGAGTTGGTCCTGGAGCTCTTGGCTTCCCAAAGGCTAGTAAGAGTCAGGAGAGATTTGTGGTCTTCCAATGGGCAGCTGATTGTGGCACAGGCTCAGCCCACAAGCTGGCCAAGCATAGAGGCTTGTTTGGAAGCCTCTCTGGCATTGGAATGCAGCACTGGTCCCTAATCTACCTGGGCTCTTTTCTCTGCTGGCCAGTTTTTTTATTTTACCATCCTTTATAGACCCAGTTGGATGGTAGGCATCCTCTACCCGCGAAGTCCCCTTGCTCACTTAATGACCTGCAGGTTCAGAATAGGGGATGTTAAGGAGGCTGTCTCACATAACGATTGTCACCACTTGAAACCAATTGTCGCCACTGGCAACCGTAACGGGCAGGGTCCATTAGGGCCACAAGTCAAGGACTACTTGTATATGCATTTCAAAAATACACTTACCTCCCTTACAGCATTACAAAATTCACTTTGAAGGACCCTTTGTAAAGCCTGCAATTTTTGAGGGGGTACCTCACCACTCCTTTGTAACTTTTCCAGCAATTCAATAGCTCGGCAAATATCTGGAGGAAGATATAACAAAACAATGTGAGCTACTGAACTTTACACAAATAACATTTTTAACACCTTGCCATGGCTGCCCACAATATGCTATTCAGTAACATACCATTTCAATTATATTCAGATATTCCCTTTACAAAGGAGTTTCTGTATTTCCCATTTCAAATTAAAGAGTTTTAAACAAGGCATAGCTAACTTATGAATGATTTTTCTCCCCTACGATGTGAATATCTCTAACAACTTTCAAAAATTCTATAGTATCTCAGAAGGGATCTCCCTATCATATTATCCTGTTCATTATTTTCATAACTTTTTGATAAAGCTGCACAAGTTAACAAGTTTTACATTTTTATATATATATTTATTTTGTATACTATTCAGCATCAATTAAGAGTTGAGTGTTTATAATAAATATAATCATAATCATTCAATGCATAATTTTTTGGAATTTGGATCCATACTGCAATAATACTATCCAAACATTCTTATTAATTTTCTATTTGATTGGAGCATTCAAGGTAGCCTAGGATTGCATTCCAAATATAAAAGTGCATAATATTTAATTGAAGATATCCTATCTTCGTGTAAAATATTTCTGCTTGTTTGAATGTATCCATACTTTTAAACAGCTGTGACTTTTTTTGCATTTCTTAAATCCAATTCTCAAAATCAATTCTCAAAACAGCAAAAGAAGGATGAGTTAAAGTACTGGAAATTCTTCACGACTGATCTTTCAGCTATTCAAACTTTATTTCTTCATTTTTTTATAGGGTGATGAAGGAAAGGACACCACTTCATATATAAATTTTATCCTAGCTGTGCTCAATAGTTGCAAATTTAAATAATGTGGCTTGGTGGCATATATTCCATAGGAATTGTGAATGCCTTGGAGAAAAATCCCAACTAATGCAGACAAACATGTACAAAATGTCTTCCTAAGGAATAAAAACTGGAAAAGGAATTTGTTCTAAATAAATATTCTATATTTTAAAAAGTGTGAATGAACTCTGATTAAAAAAAGCATAGTTACAATTACTATACATCTTACTTTTCTTCGGGAGAAGAAAAATGAATTTTCTACATGGATTAAGATAATTCATAGAATAGAGTGATCTTAAAATCAGGAGCCTTTGGTAAAGATAATGCCAACTATATTTGGTGTGACATAATTAACAAAATAAAAAGGGGAATACTGATGGTAAAATACATTTTATCTTACAAACACCACCTTATTGTTGCAGTATAAATCCTTGAAACTATTCATTATGCACACTTTATTGTAGAGCAAGAATGGGTAAGTAATAACCTGCCTTTGGTTGCTAAACCAGTTTTGCAATTCCAAAAGGCCCTTGTAATCAATTCATTTATTTAAAATAGAGTAATTACTAAAATTAGTGACCACTAAAATTTTTATGGACTAAGGAAATGGAGTTTAGCAACATTGGATAAGTAACTTTTCCACAATTTTCTAATTCTAATTTTAGAAAACATCTTGTAAAAATATTTGCTCAAAAATATTTTCCCTTTTTCAGTAAAAGATAATTCACAATTTCAATTCTTTATCCAAACCAGAATAATCATTATCATCTTTTTAGCCATTGTCTATTCACTGCAGGATGAAGGCCTTTTCCGCATACTGTATTTCCAACCAATATGATCTTGAGCTTTCTTTTGCCAATTGGGCCAATCATACTTGCTAATGTTGTCATTCCATCTTGTTTTAGGACTCTTTCGTGGACACCTTTTGTCAAGTGGGATCCATTCTATGATTGCCTTGGTCCACCTAACAACAGTTCCTCTTGCTATGTGACCAACCAATTTCCATTTCAATTCTTCACTCTCTTGATATTGCATACTTTCGTTTGTTCTTTAATCCATGTGTGGGACTTTCTATCTTGTCTTGTAACACTGAGCATGTGTCTTTCCATGGCTCTGTGCCACTCGTAGCTTTTGTATAGATTGTAAAGTTAGTGTCCATGTTTCACCAGCGTATGTTAGAACAGGTAGCAGAGACTGATCAAAAGCTCTTATCTTCAGGCATAGGGGGAGGTTGTTCTTGAAAATTAAGCTTAGCTTGCCAAATACTTGCCAATCACATTTAACACACTATTCAATTTTCTTTATTATATGAACTTCCATTGAGATCCATTGGGCAAGATATACTATGTATATCTACTACATTTAGTTCTTCTCCAGGAATTTTTTAAAAATTCCTTTTTTTGGTGAATTTATTAAACATAACCTGGCTCTTTTTCAGGTTTATTTTTAAGCCAAATGGTTCTCCTGCTTTTGCAGTTCTTGAAAAAAAAACAGAATGATAGCGTTCCTAAATAAATGTTACTCAATTCATGTTTCAGTTAATACCTTAAATAATTACAGTACTATAGTATATGCCAGGGTTTATCATGTCTCATGTTTCAAGATCTCAGAATAGGCCTTTAGCAAAAGCTGAAGTGGCAAAAGGATGTTAATATAATAGGGCTCTATGTTTCCTGCATAAAATGTTTTGCAAGCAACTGCCAAAAGCTTAATTACTGGGTATGGAAATCATTAACTTTGTTAACCATCAAAACAGCTGAGCAAAACCAATATTTTCCACAGCAGTCTTTGAAGATTAGAAATCAAAACATAAAGATTAGAAATCAAAACATAAAGGCTTCACATGACAAAGGACAGGTCCAACAGCCGAGTCCAAGCATCATATTCTTTTGAATATTGTTTAATTTGTCTTGAGTGACTGAAAAGCAAATGATAAAATACTGTCCAGAATAAATATAATTACAATAAACCACTATAAGACGTCTATAATCTCAAAAGCTGTGACAGTTCCAGTTCTCTAAATGTACTGACAACTACTGATAAACATTTCATAAGATATAATCAGCGTAACCAAGCTTTTAACCATTGGCAAATGCTTTTCTATTACAATTATGACTTAAAAACTGGCACACTTAAAAACTTCTGAGAATGATTATATATAACATTAAGAACAGTAGATTTCTTTAAATTTTGCACAAATAGAAAGTTAAGGATATGTGCAAGTTTTTATTTAGATATCCAATATTTAGTGACAGATTATTATATTATATTGGGAAATTTACATGTTTCCTTTTTTCTTTGTGCACAATTCTTCAGAACTTTAACAAGCTTTTTAAAATCCAATAAAGTTATCCAGGTCACTCTTTTGGTTTGTTATTTTATATCCTTTTCATTATTAAGATATCAGCTAGCTTCTTTTGTATGTTAAGTGTAAAATCTATTTCCATACGTAATTTTTGTAGCTTGTCATTTTTAAATTCACTTTCAAGTCAGCCTCAATCTTGTCAGGTAAAATCTGTTGCTCTTCCATAACCTCTTTTAAACACAGTCCATCTATAGAAGCAGACACCTTTAAAATTATCTTTTGGGTCCATTCTTCAAAAATATGCATCAGTATGTCAAGCATTAAAATATTTTGCTTCATTCTGCATTTAAAAATTGAGTTTAAGTGTTCTTCTTCTTTAATTGTAATCTTTAATTCCTTCTTCCTTTAGTGTCCAATTTTTAAAGTCTTTATCTTATTTTTTATAAAAGAATTCAAAATAACAGTATCTATGGAGATACATACAGGTATATTGTATTGATACATATACATATATATTGTAAAACCTGTTGATCCAAAGGTTCCCAATAGGTGAAAAGCAGTTAACAAGCAATTGTGGAAAACGATTAGAAAGTATGCAAACCCAATGTCCTTTCAAAGATCCTGTGATTTGAGCAACATGGTTATTCCCTTCCAGAGCTCTAAACCTGCAGGAAAGCACTATCTTACAGTCTCTTTCAAGGAGCCCTTGTGAGCAACCTCAAATTCTCTCCTTGTCCAGAGAGGAATGATCAAATAACTGGTCTACCTGCTGGCTCTTCATCTCAGCATGGATGTCTGATTTTTACAGAGCCATTTTCAGCCTGCGATATATTGGGAGTTCTAATCCTCTAGGAAAATAGATGTTGTAATCGTAAATCTTGCAGAAGAGGCAAGACAGAAAACAGTAAGTTTCCATTTAAGAAGCTTCATTATTTGTGATATTTTGAAATATCTTGGATCTAAAAGGACATTGAGCGATTCATTTGGAATATGGTTTTTACTCTTGTAAAAGTTTTGCCATGAGGATAAAAGGTGGAAGACTATTTTTAGTTTCTTAGAGAAAAGTCAGAAGTGCACCAACAATGAAGAAAGCTGTATTAGGATATGCTATCTAAATTGTGAATTTGGACAAGCTTCCTAATTCAAGACTTTTCTAAACAAATCTGAAAGGAAAATAATCTAATATTGTTCTTTAATCCTTACTTGACAGTTCATTTAATGTTTGCTTTTACTGGATGGAAAGATGCACAGCAGTCTTATAATGCCCCAGGCATTGGGGCCAGGATGTTAAATCATTGGTGCTCTTATATTTTGAGTGTATACATGGGAACCAACTTTTTTTTTACCAGGGCCTTGATCTAAATTGTTTTCTTAAGTTTTTAAAAAATTTGACATTTTATATGGTTTGCCTCCCAGAATTTCACTGGTGAGCCATGTAAATTTGATAAATAAATGTTAACTGAAGTAAAATTAAATGTTCTAGTTCAACTGCCTCTTGGGTACATACATATTGTTACTTCACAAATGACTGGAGATATTTCATTTTTAGTTAAATAGTATAACTATACAACCACATAATTTGGGACTAAAAATACATCTGCATTTCATTCAATCCAAGGTACATTTAAAATATAGAAGGAAATGGCATCTTCCTTTAGTCCAATGAAGATCCTATTTGACCATCCAAATGTATGCATATGAATTTGGAATGGGCCACAGAATGGGTAGCCTGTATGTTAATAATTTTTTTCTCTTGGCTAAAGCATTAATTGTGCTTTTTATGAATGGATCAAAAAGTGCCTCTACACCAAATTTTTTCTAATTGCTTTACCCTTACTAGAACATAATGGTTCCTAAAACATCATGAATATATTCAACTAGCTGACAAATCACCTATCAAAAGAACTTCAACATCATCTGGATTTAAACTCAGGTAATTGGATTATAGAATAATCCAAGATTAGCCTATTTTTGACTTTTCAGCCTAGCCTACATTCCCTGGTACTTCTCGAAGGCTTTCCTTCGAAGTATGGACCAGAAAGAACCAAACTCTGCTCAAGTTCTGAATTGAAACACGGTTGGCCAGGTGCTTAGCCATAGCGCATATTGAATTTGACGCTTTTATTATTGGCTTTGTGTGTGTGTGTGTCCTGCAACGTTGTGTGAACCCATCTCCTTTGATTCACTAGATTCTACAAACACCCAAAAGGAATCTCTGTATAATGCAATAATGTTAAGTTAATCGCGTTATACCAAAACGGCCTTAGGTAAAAGGAGGCAGCTCCCTTATGTTCATCGTTGGTGGATATTAAAAGGCTCATCTTTTACAACATAAGCTTTCATCGGGAGCGGCAACTTCAACGACCGACCCTTCGGATATTGTTGGATTACAACTCATCTACGCGGGTGAGAGCTGATACGGGCTCTAATTCCTATCAGCATCTGGAGAACCGCCACCCCTCCTCCATACAGCCAAGCTCAGGATATCTCAAGCGCCTGCCAAGCCCGGTGGAGAGCTCAAAGTGCCTCCCTCGCTCTTTTTTACACACGCACACACACCGCTTTTAGTCGGTTCTTCAAATTCCCCCACCCGTCCCGCCTCCCCTCCAGGAGCCGCGGCGCTTCTCTTCTCACCTCGCTCCAGCCGCACAGGTTCTCCTAGGGCCGCCATCTTTCCCTCCACCTCCTCTCCTGCCCTCAGCTGCTGGAGCGGAAGTGACGTCGACGGCAGGCATTGCTGTTTAAACGACGCGAGGCCGGCAAAGTAAATGGAACACTCGAGTTCTGCCTTCGAGCCTCCTTGCCTTGCAGACTCGGCGGCAAGTTTGGCTGCTTTCCGCCAGACGGTGCCTCTTTCAATGAAAGCGTGGCTCCAACTATTGCCCTCTCTTTGCCCGGAGAAGGTAGATCATTTTAGTCCGAAAGGTGTCCCACCCCCAAGAGGCAACTGGACTTTATAGTTTTTCTTTGAAGATGTTTCACTTCTCCTCCAAGAAGCTTCCTTAGCTCTGACTGGATGGTATGGAATGGAAGGATTTATACTCTTTGCAGACAGCTGGTCATTTGTATCTTTTTAGAGAGTGTAGTTGAGGCCACCTGGAGGTTTATCTCAGCGTCACCTGAGTAGTACAAATTTGGGTGTGGAGCCTTCATGGAACTGTTGAAAGGACCGTGTTGTAGAATGGAGATAGATAATGTATCTATCCAGTCCAATCCCCACCATCCATCTACTCAGAACTGAAGAAGCTTCTTGGATGAGAAGTGAAATGTTGCCTCTTGAAAAAAAAAAAAAAAAAGCACCTTTGGGACAATCGTGACTTGGATGACTGAGCATCTCCATAGACACATGGCTCATTTTAGTTGTGCCGGCATCACTGTGAGATTTCCTGCAGCCTGGAGAAAAGAAAAAAAAAAAGCCTGCCAGATGAACTTATTTGGGCTTCAGACTGTTTCCTCACTGAGTCTGTATTGAAAACGAAGAAAGGATGCGAGGTTGATAAAGACCCACAGCCGTTGTGGGCCGGTTCCTGTGCAAAGCATGAGAAGAGCCAAAGCCATGCCAAAAGAGTTTACAGGTAGTCCTTGACTTACAACCACAATGGGGGCCCACATTTCTGTGGTTAAGCAAAACATTTGTGTAGGTGAATTTTGCCCCATTTTACCTGTGACTTTTCTTGTCATGGTTGTTAAGTGAATCACTGCAGTCGTTAAGTCAGTAACACAGTTGTTAAGGGAATCTGACTTCCCCATTGACTTTGCTTGTCAGAAGGTCTCAAAAAGTAATCCCGTGTCCCTGGAACACTGCAACTGTCATAAATATGAGTAAGTTGCCAAATGTCAGAATTCTGATTATGTGGGGATGATCATAAGTGTGAAAAATCTTCATAAGTCACTTTTTTCA